TCTGCTTCCCTGGGATCCTCAGTCAAGCTCACTTGCACCCTGAGCAGTGCACAAAGCAGCTCCTACATGTATTGGCATCAGCAGCATCCAGGGAAGGCCCCTCGGCACCTGATGTATGTTACCAGTGCTGAAAGCTCTAGCAATGGGGCCGGGATCCCTGATCACTTCTCAGGCTCCGGCTCTGGGGCCAACTGCTACTTAACCATTTCCAACCTTTAATCGAGGCTGATTATTACTGTTAATCTATGACAGCAATGTTGTTGTGACAGTGACACCGGCATATGAGGAAGTGGGATGAAAACCTAGGCTTGCTCTGGAGCTTTATCTATGACAATTTTCAAATTTCAAAATAGGTTCCTATGCATAAACTCTACTGGGAGCATCTTTGGTGTTTAAAATATTTCTACTCTCAATTTCTCTTCTAGTGTTTCTGAAGTCACAGGAAAACCAAAAGCAAAACCCAAAGCCCCCTGATGACACTGAAATGTTGCCTTTTTATCTACTTGTGATAAATCCAATGTCTGTGAGTCTGGACCTTTCTTACCTGAAAAGCAGACACAAGCCTCTCTTGGCTCACATGTTGTTCAGTACCCAGGGATCACCTCATCAGATGGACAGTCCTGCAGCATGGACTGTGCCCTTCCAGTTGTCACAGCAGAGACCTCCACTTTGCTCCTGGTCACCTGTGCTCAGGGCTGCCTGAGGCTCCCTATGTCCCAGGGACCAGGCAGGGGGATGTGAAATGCAGCTGAGGACATGGGTCAGGGAGGAATTCCAGGCACACAGCTGGCCTGGCTCACTCATGGGTTCCTACAGGTATAGTTGTCCCATCAGGATAGAAGGTGGGGGTGGGAACAGCTATGGAGCTGAGGCAGCAACCTCCTTGTAGAAGGGGAGAGGGTGGAAGGGTAGGCTCCAGCTCTGCTGGGAGCTGTTGAGCCTGCTCCAGGGAGTAGAAGATGCAGGTCCCCTGAATGTGACTTTCCTACACCTTGTCCCACTCAGGAACATGAGAACCCCACAGGTGGCTTTCCCTGAGACCATAGACACTGACTTTTGTCCTCCCCTCTTCTGCCTCATTGGAGCTTTCAATAGTCCAGGCTGTGATTGTGGGTCTATGGGACATCAAGGACCAGAAACCCCCAAACCTGTGCCCATCTCACCCTCCCTGTGGTTCTCATAATGTACCCACATCCCAAGGTTAGTTACTACTGCACAGAGAGTGTCACAGACTACGGATCTTATGGTGACCATGAAGGCTGGTGACCACGGGTTCCTAGAAAGACTGAGTTTGTGACTAGACAGGAGTCTTGGATAATCAAAGGTTTAGCCTGATTGTCCTTTGTCACCATGGCCTCCTTTATCACCCACCCCTGACCTCTAGGGATTGGGTCAGGCTGACCATCACAGTTATAGCTGATTACAACTCAATGACACCACGAACTCCCATCAATGGGAGAATGACACAAGGATGTGTCCCTCATGTTTCCCTCTTCAATCCATACCTACCATGTTCCCACCTTGTACCAACCTCTGCTTAGTTTGTGGCTTCTTCTCTCACTGTTCCCAGAAAGCCTGAGGCACTTACTTTGGTTCATCTTCGTGGGGTCAATGAGAATTCCACCTTCCCTCACGGCTTCTCCGTGCAAGTAGAACTTTTGTCTCC